TTTACCACTTAACACAAACGAGTCAAATCCCCCTCGCGCACAGTTAAAACAAAATGATTCGGATCACGCAGATTTTACAAACTGCATTTAAAAATGTTTCTATTGCTAAATTTTATGTAGTTTTAAAATGAGAATTTCAAATACATCTACAGGTTATAACTTTGCCTTCGTAGACCTGAGTCATCAAGTCGGAATTTCTAAAGTATGTACTTTTATTTCTTGTGCAAAATGTTTCCTTCACCCTTTTTGCTTACCGCAGACTGCTATCACTTCTTCGCTTTCCGCATTTTTAGCCCCACAAGAAGAGATTGCGACTACGCCGCTTAACAATTTATTTGCAGTCTAGTGATATATACCTCTCGAACCTACTATAGAACAAACATGCAACCGATCACGTGTCTGTAATGGCTTATGCAATTTATATGGTGTAGCGCAGAAACGCTTCATTCTCAGGCACTCTAATATTTTGTTTATGTGGTGAACTGATGCCTGGCGGTTACTCTGGCATTCTTTTGGACTTTGCACTTGGAGATTGGCCATCGCATCAACATTGGGCTTGAAACCTTCTTTTACCCCTAGAATACATGTATTCATTCCAACTCAGTGCCTTCTTCTCGAGACGCTACACTGGTGACAGCAGAACGCATACTCTGCATTTTTAATGACTTTGTCTTAGTACGTACCGCTTGTGGCACATACCTACGGCGTGAAGGGAACGCATACACTTCGATCTGGAAGTTCACTAAAATTTTTTTTGCAAAAGAAGGGTTAGGAATGATGCTCGCGTTTTGCTTCACCTTGTTTACAGGCAAGGTAGTAATAACTGGGGTGACACTGTCCCAACCATCTGGGAAAGTTTCGTGTCGGGTTCATCCCTGCTATATCCGCGTGTTGATGACGGGAATGGGATTACGGATCGCCTAATGTATGGGGCAGTGTCTGATCTCGTTTTCACTAAAACGCATCTGTTTTAGACTAGAGTTCCGGCGTCTAGCCCTAGGAGTAATTGATGGTCAACAGATGTATGTGGTCCGATTCTAGCTAGCAAACCGAATGGAACTCCAGATCCAGTTGTAGCTGCCAAGGGGACCAACTATCACTCCTAAATCCCATGGTATCTGTTGACTGGCGCATCTGGCTCGTGGGTGCATTCTTGCAGTACAGAACATAGCTACGTGGGATGTGTACCAAGGGTAGTGCCGATGTCGGTCAAAAGTGGAGGGGCAGGGCAATACTCTGTTTATGTGGTCGCCTAATTTCTTGCGATTATTTTGGCATTCTTCCTGCTCCCGTACGCTTGGGTTGGCCTTTGGGCCAAGTCAAGGCTTAATTTTCTTTTTCTATCCCTAGAACACATTTATCAGCCCAGCTTAATGCCTCCCTCTAACTCGTTTGAATTCCCGATGCACTCCAATTGCAATCCGAACCATCAGCACAACAAAACTCTAAGCATACAAGGAGCTCGTTTAATTCCCTATGGCGCTTACTCTTGTCAAGTAAAGTAGAGTGAATTCAAACTAATGCTGGAGAACAACCCTTAAATCTTTTGGACATTTAGGTATTGTCCACAGTCTACATCTCAAAAATGAAACCTAGGTCTTGGGATGTGTTAAAGAGCGAAATCAACAAATGATGGTAACAGGTTAGCTTGTTTCAGTTTTCGCTTTTGCACCAAATGTTTATGGTCAGAGTGGGACAAGCTCATGATTGCCGCAGCGCTTGGATATGGAAAAATGGACTCACAATAAGCTTCGGCTCCGCCTACAACTATACAAAGAGTCACAGACACGTGCGTAAAGATTTCTCGATTCAAAAGTTCTGTTATTTGTGTGTTGAGGGAACGACGCTGCACGAGAAACCAAAAGTGGTAGGTACCAACCGACATGAGCATCTGTGTTTTGCTCTTCCCACTTAATAATTTCTTATTTATCAAACTAAAACAAAAAACGGATTTCTAGTACTTTATTTAAGTCTAACACGTTCCCGAATAACAGGCACCGCCTGCATTGAAACCGCACTGACTGTTTGCGCCATTGTTTCTACCGCCTTCTGCTTTAAAATATTTTCGAGCCACACCAAGCGTCTTTTGCGCGTCAATATTCTCCTCTGTGTCTTCAAGGAACCATTCAGTTTCGTTCGTATCAACAGGACTTTGACCCTCTTAGACGAAAGAAGTCAATTTTAGGCACGATTAACTTCTATAAAAACTCTTAGAAGATGAAATCTAGTCGATAAAAACAGCCGTGTAAATTTTTAAAGTATGGTTTCTGCCTTCACTTAAAGTATCACCAAATAAGTTTGAATTGACGTTTTCAAAGTTCATGATTTAACTTTGGGCGAAACAGATAAAAGGTGCTATCCAAACAAAGAAGTAACCCGTGCCTTAAACAGTGCAAAAAAATACAGCTTAATAAGGAAAATGGCTTGCCGCATTAACAATGACCATCAACCATGTAGTAGTATGTAAGTGATCTTTATGGGAGATCATGGCAGAATTCGAGCAAGTCGCTCACGAAGTCCCACCATGTTGACTCAAAGGAGGCTTAAAACATTACTTGATTCTTCTAGCCTAAAAAAATGCCAGGCAGCCTGATATCACCTACATACTTCGCCTTCGCAATGGATGTAAAAGCTGAACCTGAATGATCTTACTCTCACCTTCTGCTGAAGTCCGCGTGGACCTTTGTAATATCTTGTCTCCTGTTAATCTGGAAGGTAGTAGGCTGACAAATCTCTCACAAAGAACGTAACAAAAGTAATTGATGTATGCTAATTGGGCGTTACGCAGGGCAATTCATTCAATAAGAGCAACAAACAAAGCAAATTTCAATTGTAAAAGCAAAAAATAAACAAAATCGAACTTTTATGGCCGTTTCTTCATACGCACAATAAAAAGCTGTTTTAAAATTGATTGCATACTCATTAGCGCTATCAAAGGGGTTGGGTACAGGTAGGTAGGTTAAGGCTGATTTATAGGAGCGGAGCTGATCGCCGGATAATTGGGATAGCCAGTGCAGCATTTCCATATCCTGCTCGTCCTCCGTCTTCCAATCGTCTTCGACTTAGAAGTAAAATATGGCCAGTTAACAACTTAGTTTAATGGTGCAGATAATCAACTTAGCGCCAAACTCACCATCTGGAAACTCAATTAGACGGTCTGCGTTATCACATTCAATTCTGTTTTCAGACTTTATTTTGGGAAGCAGTTCATCTCGTCTATTCTTCTGCAACAGCAATTGTTCTGCATACGACAGGGTTGGTGTAAAGGTAAAATTTTCTTCATTTAAAGGTGGCTTTTTACGAGATGCAGATTCTGTTCCTATTGAACTGGAAACTTTCAAAGGTTCTTGACGTCGACCAATATTTTTTACTTCGGGTCCTGCAACCGCTAGGGCCTTAATGCGACAGATGTAGAGGACATGCATAACCAATTTTTCAATATGATTGTATTTACGGAAATTCGAATGACACAAAAACACTGTAAGGTGGACTTGCTCAATCACGAAAAACTTCCCTTATATCAGCTTCAGAACGCTAATTTCACAACCACAATTCTCTGTATGCATGGTAAACTTCGTGCAAACATTCACCGAAGTAATAAAGTCTTTGTTGGATGTTTGTAAGAGAAATTCAGTGCTTTTAAAACAACTTACTGAATCACTCCTTAAGGAGCTTGCTTGAATGCCTTCAGAAGCCATCAATAAAGCTAAATGTCTGCTTGACGCATTCAGAGAATTCGGGCCAGGTTTGGACATCTATACCCACAAATTAGTCTTTGTAAGAAAATCTGCAGTAAGTATTATTGAACGATGCTTTAATAAAGAGCCCTTCATATGAAAGCAGGAGAAGCACTGGGTACAGAACTTCCCCTCACATTGTCGGCAAAGCTACCACATTTACAAAATAAAACAAATACCATAATAGCGGACGAGCCTTCACATTTGCCACAAAACTCCGTAGAAATAGGTAAGAGTTGCTGCTTTCCAAAGCTCTGAGACACGTTATTTGCGTTTCCTAAGAGCGCTAAGAACCTGAGTTGACATACCACTTGGGCGCATAGCCAGTAGTTTAATTTTAGAAAGGCTTTTTACCTAAAGGCCTTAATCAAAAATATATTTAGATCACGAGCATCTAAAGAACTTTTCTGATTTCGGCAGTTGGTTAATTTACTTGACTCCCAGTGTAAGCCTTTGCTAAAAGCGTAAAAATCGAAAGGCGTAAGCTACCACATTTCTTTATGACGAGCAGCTGATGCCTTAAATTTCTCAAGCATTTTGGCTAGCTGTTCCGTTTCTTGTTCGACTATATTTCTATTCTTGCTTCTTGACATTCTATCACTTCAGGTAAATAAAACGGTCACGATACCTATTTCCTGTGCGTCTCATTTCAAAATGTCAGAGATGGGTGCAGCTATGGCAACCACTAAGCAAAATAACTTATTCCATGATAATAAGTTCGTGAACTGTGCTACTTTGGGCTGAAGAACATTTATTAATTAGGATCTTCGTTATATTGCGATCTCAAACATCACTTTCTGCGGACCCGATAGTGGACCCCTAAAACCAGGCGCCAAATAATGCCAAGGACTCAAGACGGACTTCAATGCAGAGATGGACCTACAACTGTGCCTACTCGCCTAAGTGAAAATACCGGACTCTCATATCACTACATGCAGACACCAAAAGGTCCTACAGAAGACGAGCTGAAGTATCACGTGAGTAAACCAACAAAGAGGAGGCAAAACTAACACAGCAAAGAGCTGGAGATGATTGCAGACAGCCCCTCACACTGCAGAAAACGTTGCGAACTCGACATTGCCGTGGTCCACCCCAGCAAACACTGCAGTGACCACTAAGAACAAGGAGCACAACAAACCCGGTCCCCCAGCCGGAGAACCATTCCACACAACGAGAGTGAGAACGAGATATGGAAGACCCATGCGGTAGCGGAGGCGACTTGCACCAAGATTTTTAATAAACGTCATTTTATTTACAGTAAGTATCTCAAGATCATCGGGAAATGGATGCATTCAATGTTGACCAAATAAGGCCGGACCTGAGCTTCTCAGATACGTCACAATAAGCGTCAGTATTCCAGATAATCAGTTTTTCTATCGGTTCGCGCACCACCTTCAAAACACTTGGCACTTCGTCTAAAGAGTTCACATCATCAATTTGGATGACTAGAACGTCCGATTCTGCCGGTGTTTCAAACACCTCACCGCGAAGTTTCCTTCCCCGAAAATAAGACGTGCATCCGGATCTACAGTCAGCATTTGGTGCACTACAAGAAATGAACAATTTTACATCCCCACGGAATAGCTAAACAGGATAGACTTACTACATAGTGATGCCGCTCGGCCGATTATTTAAACACACAAGTGACTCCTGTAGAGGAGTCACAT